CACCTCGGGATCCAGTCGAATCCAGGCACGCGCGTCACCGACGACTACTCTCCGCGGATCTACCCGCGGACCACATGCGGGCTTAAAAATACGCCTCGTTACTCCGACGACGCTGTTTTACACGCGACGTTTCTTCCCTTCTTATCCGAGCATCTAGACCCGCGACCCTCTGCCACCTCCGTTCTAGACACCCAGTGTTGGGCGTTATTGGAATCAAACTTTAGTTGAATAACTGCAAGGAATGAATAATTAACGCACTACGCGCGGTCCCTTGGGAGCTGCAGTAGCAAAGAGAAAGGAGACTTTATAAATCGCATGATATTAATCAATTTGTTCGTGGCCTTTATAATCAATTTCATTAAAGCATTGTGGACAACAAGAGATTTTTCTGTAATATCTGTTGCTTATGGACAAACGCAATTTTTGAATTTACGTGCTGTTTAAATGGAAAGTAAAGCAGAAAAATCTCGGCGTTTGACGTGTTAATTGTTGTTCAGTTTAAGGTATTTTAATTGACAAAATATCGGACACTAATACGTTCATAGCTTATTGCCTAGCGACGAAACCATTACTGGCGGTGTTTGGCTCCAGAACTCGTCGTGTTATGGCGAAGTTGACTGGATTCCTTCATACTTTAGTTCACCGCGACGGTGAAGACTTTCAAGCTCATCTTTAACCGTGGTTACATGATTTGTCGAGGGTGTATTGTTTTTCATATTTCCCCCTGTTCGTCCATTTGATACTTTTCGTGAGGTATTGAGTGTAAGAATTACTGTCTGGGGAGTCGACGGAGGCTTGATTAGATCATTGTCATGGAATTTTTTTGCCGATTAGGCTGGGGGAAATGAATTATGTACTCATTGTCGTTAACTTGTGAAAGCAAATTGTTTTGAATAACGTGAATTTAAAATCGAAATAATTATGTACTAAACTGTTAATTTAATGCCAAATATTATATCGTATAATATAATATCAATAGAATATACTTTAAACTGTTTAAAGAAATAATGAAGCTACGAAAAATGACAAAGGTGTATTAAACTTTCAGTGAATTATGCTTTTAAATGAATTTTCTAAAACTATTTTAGTTGTAAGTTGATGCGTTTCTGTTTTTAAATTCCGGTACAATTTCACGGAAAGAGTATAAATGACGCCATTTTGTGAACACAGTATGGGGGTTAGGGGCGTATTATAATACATGTCTTGTGGGACAAGTATAGTGATTTCATCTAACGCTGTAGGGTGCCAAACGGTAGGAGCTTTTGAGTGTCAAATTTCAAAGGTTCTGGAACGAACCGGAACTGATCCTTTTGGGCCCTAAAGATTGGATTTGGACGCCCTCGGTCAGTAGATGATTCGAACAGCAAATACTATTGTAGTGGTAACCCGGAGTCCACTATATAAATAGGGATACCCATTGGCAACAAAATCCTTCTCGATAGCATAAAATATATTTAGTGGCTTGTAGCTAACAAGAATATCGTTTTACAAACCACGTGATGCTTCAAAGGAGCAAACATTTACATACATCTAAGAACTTGCTCCATAGATTTACCATGCACCATAAACATTTATGAACCAATTGCCTGTATATGTTCACTTCTATCAATGAACCAAAAAAATTACTCATCAAAAAGGTTCTAGCCGGAAAAACCTTAAAGACTGTAATCTAACACGAGAAGTTACACCGTTTGTTTCTCAAATATCAATGCGGCGAGCGCATTATATCGAAAATACAGTCTCAAGGACATCGGAGGACTTAACTCCAATCACGTCTGAAGAAAAATTCCATCTTGCCCGTGGGGAACTATTTCCTATTTTACCGTATCTACGGGATGCCATAAACAAGCCTTTCCTAAGAATGAAAGCCATGAAAGGAACCGAATGCGCAGCCAAGAGAAGTCTGTTCGATAAAAAGTTTGCTTAAAGTGTACGTCTCGCCTATTCTTCCGTGATTCCAACATTCACAATCGTTCTGAAAGGGACGATACGCAGCGATACAAAACCACTGTCGATGCTTCAAAGATACGGCGGAAACTTTAAGACTGAACGGATTTTCAAGCATTCCGCGACCATTGGTACCTCTTGCTCGTTGTAAAATACGAAACTGACTGTTTCTACTTACCTCACCGCGGTTGCAGCTAAGATACTCGAATGGTGGGTGAGTTGTATCTATGAAAATGTTGCTTATTGATCATAAAGTCTCCTTATTGTAAACAATACACAGTATTACAGTTTTTGGTAAACATGGAATTCAGAATTAACGAGAAAATGTAAGTAGCTGGAGGTATAAAACTTTTAGATGGAAAAGAATCACACGATAACTACTTTCCAGCCAAATTCAGAAATTTAGAATCTTCCAGTTATTTTCTGTTATTTAGTCTACATTTGAATGTAGACTTATTTATAAACCTTTTCACTTAAATATACACATTTTTTATCTTGAAAATTAATATTTATAAAGTGGCTACTGTGATAATTATCAAGAGAATCATAATACAACTTAATTTTTCCAACAGTTTTCAAAAAAAGTAATCTACCGTATCACTGAACGCATTAAAAGTTACGATACCATTCAAGTAGTTACAACCATCACCTGATCTCGACGACGGTGCACACACGCATGGCCGCGCACGGTATGCTTAACCATCCATCGAATATCCCCGTGGTTAAAGCAGGGTCTGCTAAGAAGCTTCACTAACGAGCCCACTAGCAAGCCCAGGACGAAACGCTCCCGTTCCCATCCTTCTCCCCTTCTTTCTCCTCGATTTCCACATTTCCAACCCAACCGGCAAAGCGTAAACCAGCCGCCGCGTGAATCTCGTGGTTATTAATCACGCGAAACGGAAACCGCGTGCGAACAGCGTCGTGCAAATCGAGGACCGGCGTATATCCTTAAAAATTGGATTCCCAGTGTGACGGAGATAGAAAGAGATAGAAAGAGATAGAAAGAGAAAGAAAGAGAGGGAGCAAGAAAGGTAGGAAATACGAAAGAAGGAGAGAGATGGAAGGGAAGACATTTTCCACGGACCTAATATAGGGGTTCGATGTCGGAACGGTCCATCTTGAATTCAATAATCGGCCGATGGCCAGATACGACCGGAATCGATTGAGTTAATCTTTACACAGGTAGCCGGCGCGGGCTTGATTTACGGTGGCCGGCGAAGGGCGGCCGACGGTTCCTCGGACCAGGCTAAATTCTGCGAAGGTGCGCGATAAAGTTCGATGGTTCGCCCTTTTGTCAAAACAATGTGTGCCGGTGTCGCGCGTGTGCCTAGGGGGATGGGCGGCTGGGACCGACGATAAAGTTCACCGATATTAACATCTTCGTCGGTGCTGTAATTTTCACCCACGGTCTGATATAGTGGAACGTTTCGTTGCGGCGGTGCCCGTATTACGGCTAATATTTCTCTTTCGTACAGAACGAAAATTGAGTACTTTATAAGGAGGCGGGACATTAATAACTCGTACAGCCGGCTGGTATTTTCAGGACAGCTTAAAAGCTCTCGCCGCATCGATGATGTATTATATGCTTACAAAAGAACTGACACTTACCGCCGCGTGCCCAGCCCCCTTTGCCGCTACGTGTTTGTCCTTCTATTTTCCACCCCCTTTTGTTCCATCCCCCCGCGACGCGAACGTGAACGTGTTAATCAATCATGAAGTTGCAGCCATAAAATGTTGTGATATCGTGCAAATTGTGCTGGACTTGTAACGTAGGTGTTAACGCTGCTTAGGAAGAGACGGATAAGTATTTCATTCAGCAAACAAAGCTTGTACTACGGGATATTCTGCTCGGAAAACCGATTCTTATATAATTGAGAAACGTAGAAATGTATATTTTAAACAACTTTTACAACAAATTGTCGAAAGTAGAGAGAGTTATAGTTTGCGAAGTATGAGATTATTGGATTCAAAATGAAGTAAAAATAATACCATTTTCTATTCAAGAGATTTGTTGACGTCTTGATCTAGCAAGCAAACAAATAACCCAGTTTTTCGAATAAAAGAATGTGGGTGAGCGAAAGCCGGCCAAGTCGTAGGTTTTGAAAACAGTTTCACGCGGACCGCGTGTGCATTTATTGAACAACCATTGCGCCCACTCGAAACTCGAATAAACGACGGATCCTAGCCCGATAAATTCAATGAATTCCGACACGATCCTCGACAATGTAGAACGCGGTACGTTTCCGCGCTGTCAGGGAACAATGGGCGATGATTGCAAAAACGGCGTTGAATACACAAGAGGCGTAAAAACCGATGTAATGACGATTCGTTATCATACCGCGCGCTGCTGCTGCCGGATTCGCGCTCTCATAAGGAATTTACGCGTCACCGAGCCGGCTGAATCGCTACTTTACCAACAATGATATCATCAATCGATGGTGAATAAAATCATCATACCAAGCGCTAATCAACTCCCGGTTTTTCCCGTGTATTATCCAGGCATTGCCTGTCCCCGTCAGACCGTTCCCTGCTTTCGATTACCAGTCTCCCATCCCCTCTGCCATCCCAGCCGC